CAATTGCCCGTTTTAGACTAAAACAAAAAGGAAAGAAAGAGATTAATTTATAATATTTATCGGGGTTTGTTGGAATCCTTTAACAATCTCGTTGTATCCTGAGGGTTTATACTCGTCTGTGACTGTCTGCTGAACATTGCTCTTCTTTCTTTCCCCACAGGTGGGAGTATATGCATGAGCCTCGTAAGGGCACCAGGGAAGCAGAAATGCTGGATGTGCTGCGGAATCCGAAGAACTGGGTCCACTGATCGGAGGGAGACGGAAAATTTCCCAGGCTCCTCTGCCTCCCTTGTAAAACTGCTGTCCCCCGATATTCCCAAAGACCTTTTGGAACAGCAATCTTTTACGTGACAGGAGTGAGAGTCAAGCAGCAACATGGCTGGAGAAGACCTAGGCCAAGAAAAACTATACAAATCGTTTAGAACTATTTTTATAATTCTGTGTACAAGATTATACTTTTATTAAGCCTTTGATTACAGCAAGCTGTGCAATGTGAAAGACTAACTGCCTGTGCCTGTTTGGAGAGCTGTGTGACGGAATGTTGCCACGCCTGGCTATAGTCTGTGTCCCGTCCTTCATGTTGTATGTGGTTTTCTTCTGCTGGTGTTACTTTGGGCTCCGGAATGAAGATAAACAAGTTTAACTTTAGCACAGCGGAGTCTAAAAGCTGACGACAAACTACACGAGTGTAAGAGAACAGCAGTATGGAAGTAATTTGCCTAATGTTTTGTACAAAGAAAGGAAATTTAATTTTGATAGCTGTCTGATTGGTGCAAACAATGCCAAATGTGTGAGCAAAATAAAATTATGCAATATTTCAGGTTAGTTATTTTGCTTTTATTCTTTACCAGTCTTTTTCAGCCAAGTTTTTCTTTTTTGGGGGGTAGTTTTGGGAAGTACCATGTGATCTCTTTAAATCTCTGTATGTGTTGTCTTCGGTGTGCCTTAATTAGAATGTAAAACCTTAAATGTTTTGTTAACTGCCTGTCTCCTAGAAACATTTTCTTTCATTTTTCTTTCCTGTGTTATCAGATTTTAAACTGTGATTTAGTACATACAGTAAACACCATTAAAACATCACTTTTTCAATTAAGTTGGCTGGTAGACTGGTATTTTCATTGTAAGTGGAATATTACTGTATGTGCAGTTACTATTTAGTATAATTCTGAGAAAGAGAAAAGAATGTGTAAACCATAAGCCAACATTTCCTTTTAAATTCCTTGTGAAATAATTCATCTTTCAAGATTCTTACAATAAGTTAAAAATTATTAAGTGATTTCCACGGGCTCTTGATCTGATAGTTTGTCACAATAGCTTGTTTAATATAGTGTTAAAATTCATGTAACTCTTTCACAGTTACACAGCAAAAATAAGGTAATTAAATGTGTATTTTTAGCAAGTGTTAATTAACTGACACTCACATGATGGAACAGGCACTATGTCTCAAGATTGTTTTATTTTAAAATCAAGACATTATAGTGGCTGCAATGGTGGTTAACCTGCTGTTTCTCAGCTTTTGGGTCCTTAGCTTGATTCTGACTTCTATGTTGAGTTTCCATGTCCTCTGAGGGTTTCTTGGGTATTCATCATGTGCCCTGGTTTTCTCCCACCTGCCAAACACTCATTAAAAGGTGTCTCTGAATTGTCCTTGTACGTGTCTGTCCCCAAGGGTGGACTGGCATTCCATCCAGAGGGTTCTCCTGCCGTTCCTCAAAACATTCCTGGTTGCCATGATCCTCGTCAGGAACACTTTCATCGGGTGTCTTTCTAATTAAGATGGGTGCATGGACACAGAAAGATTAAAATAACTGGAATAGGTGAGGGTGAGGGTTTGTAAAGTTCTTGGAGACCTTGACAAGTGTCTGCTTAATTTAATCCCAAATCCTTCTTAAGATCCTTCCATTTTTAATGGGGTGTTTCAGGTGGTTCGGACACCAGCTCTCCCTGTGATTGGGTTTCCAAAAAGCAGAAGCACACAATTGCCACCAGGGACAGGGGGGTCCTTTGGACCTGGAAGCCAGCAGTGTGGTGTGAGAGCGAAGGCAGTGTGGGGCTCACAGTGTGCCTCATGCTGGATAGCAAGAACAACCACTGAGAGAGAGGAAGATCATAGTGATAGGGCCCTTCAACCCCTGCAAAAAACTCTGATGAAAATCAAAAGAAATTAAAAAGAAAAAATATTACTGAATAATATTGATCGAGTAGGTCGCTGTGTCTGCATGCGTAGTCTGCAAAGGGACAAGTAAAGGTTTATTCCATGCTGAAAAGAGAAGAAAAGAAACACACCTGTACCACAGCTAAAACATTGTTTCTTTTCTTCTCTTTTCAGCATGGAATAAACGTTTACTTGTTCCTTTGAATAATAGTTTGTAAAGTGTGAAACCTATATATATATTTCCATACTTATAATAACATGCTGAACAGACGGTACAGCTGGGTAACTAAGTATCTGTGTTGATAATGCATAACTTAGCTCATTGAAATACCAATCCTGAGTTCTTAGCAAACTTCAAAATGTCACAGGACTACTTCATTCACTAATGCTGTAAATGAGAAAACCCAGATCAAGCCTCACCCTACTTTTTAATGAAGAATTCCCTCCCGAGCCTCACCAACTTGTTGTTGAACACCCAGTCATGTTATATTTCCTTCAACCCTGTCACTCCAGGATGCCCAATAGTGATATTTTGCAGCTCCCCAACTGCTTTCCTGGATAGCTTAAGGATACCACTTGTTGAGGGTCCTAATTGGTATGTTAGAGATACTAACCATGCTTGCCATCTCCTTAAAAGCTTTTAATTTCAGGGACCAGATATTATCATAAAACAATACATCTCTATTCACCATGATTCCTCATGACAGCAGCCTCACAGCACTCTAGCCCACAATTACCAAACATACTATAGGTCTCCATGAGTGCTGTAGTGATAGGGCCTATTATTACACTGAGAATTAAGTGTTATGAAAGATTTCTGATGACCAAGCAGCCTGGTGCTGTTTGTGGATGGCACAGGAATGTGGCTAAAGAGACCCTCCCAATAAGAGACATTGTAAAGCTGTATGAGGCTGAACAATGTAATGAGAGACAGTATAGTGCAGATGAGCTTCACCAAGTCTCCAGACTAGCTTCGGCCCAAAACCATGGATGAAAGGTCGCTATACATCACTATAAATCCACAAATGAATGATCAGTAGAGTGGGTACCACAGGTGTGTCTGATTGCATCTCAACCAGACACTGGTGATGTCACCCCATATAAACTGGAACCTAGTTCATTCTCTCCCATTAGCAGCTGGCTCTCTCAATCTCTCTCCATCTAACTGGCAAACTGACTTTTCAAACCACATGACTGTGAGCAGTCCGAGACAGGACTTAAACTTTTCACCAAGAGCTAGGCCGAGAGAGTGAGCCAGTAAGGTACAGAATTCTGCCCAAGGTATTCTTCCCAAAACAGAAGAAATATTGTGTTGTGAACCCACTGTTATTTTCAACAAAATCAACAAAATTAGACAGTTGGACTTTTTCTTTTTGACATCCAGAATATTCTAAACAAAATCAATAGCCCAGATAAACCGAGTTGCCATTTTTTCTTACTTGCGGCCAGACCTCAAGAAGACAGACTGTGCACAGACTGTTTTTAAAGAGCAAAGCCAGATAGACAATATTTTGGCAGAGCTGCCTGAGACCAAGACAAGCTGCTAGTCAATTCTGGGCAAAGCTCTTTATCCCACTTCCCTGCATGCATAGGGATCAGCACAGAGAAGCTGCCAGAGACAATACAATCCAGCACAACAGATTGTTGAGTAGAATTTCATTATTCACATCATAATTCTCGGGAGAATTATTATTTGATGTTTAGTTCACAATAGTAAATAGTATTTTACTAGCATCTGAAAATATAAATGTAATTGAACTATATGAGGCTGACAGAGCCTAAGGTCTAGACTGTAACACTTTATACCTGATGCTTATTTTAACTCTGAATTTATTAATTGTTTGTAATCCCTGAGTGAGTAATAAGCTTTTACAGTATATCACAGTAGATTGTTTCACATATACAATATATTCTATTACATTGTTGTTTGTTAAGGATGTTGTTAAGCAATAGATTGTATATTGTACATTTAGAATCTGTGTGTGAGACTGTAAATTATTATGTATGAGTGGTTCCTGAAAGTCATCAAGTGCTCTTGCAGTTTACTGTTACAAATTCTGATTTTTACAGCAAATTTAACACTCAAATCTCCTATAGTACTACGTTGGGACCAACTAATACCGACATATTTGTTGGGTGGGAAGAAGAACGCTACCCACTCTACAAGATAAGATCACTTTATTGGCAAAATATACAGTTTCTTGCATTAGGAATTTGTCTTTCCTCATACCTCAACTTGCTTTCCATGAGACACACAGACCAAGAGAGAAGCTTGGGATCAGAGCGCAGGGTCAGCCGTTTATACAGCACCCCAGGAGCAGGTGGGGTTAAGGGCCTTGCTCAGGTGCCCAACGGAGTAGGATTCCTCTGCCAGCCACGGGATATGAACCAGCAACTGTCCAGCTACAGGTGCAGATCCTTAGCCACACAACCACCACACCATCCCATGCATACAAGTGATGCATGTGTCCTCATGTGTGGATGGTTTTCACTTTCATGATCCCAAAATGTCCATATTTACATTCGCTCTTATTAGGGAAAAATTAGTTCACTATTGTTAACAACATTCTAGTCACTAATCCTGAAATATAGTTGAGACCCCCGTGCTGTTGCTGAGGAAGTGAGCACATTCAGTATTTTTGTTATGATCTGATGATGTGTGTGTTACACAATAAGAGTTTTGTATAATGAGGAACTAGGAATAAGCACTTGAGCTTACAAAAAATCATGTCTCTCCTCAACATAGAACCAGCACAACTGTTTACCTGTTTTTGTCTGATAGGTGGATTTAAAATTTTGTCTCATAACAAATTAACATTTGATGCATTTTGAGATAAATTGTGAAAGTCACTTGGAAATATATCTAATTTACAGATAGTTAAAAGGTTAAATATCCAAAAGTTAAATATTGATGTTTCTGTGCATTTCCTAAAAGATCAGAGATATAAAGGGTATATATACTGGGTATTATGTGGAATATTAGACAAATGTTCATTAGCTTTATCGTTTTAACAAATGATTACTGAAGACGTACAAGTCATGTTTTTGAACCTTTAAGCAGTATAGGTTAAAATTGGAATAAGAGCTGGAAATGCCGGGTAGCCATTCAAACCATGTTGTTTTTTTTCCAGTAAATAATTCAATGTCCTTATCCAGTTATTTTTGAAGGAAGCACGGGTATCAGATTCAACCACATCACTGAGTAGCATGTTCTCACAACCCTTTGAAAAAGGAAGGGGCTCCTACTCTAGGAGGTGTTTTACATGCAATTCTCTGAAATTTCCGTTTCTGTTCACTAGTTTCTGTTTCAAATTTGAATCTGGAGTTTTCCACGGGCATTACAATAATTAGAAATACATCCTGTCACATTGAAATATTGAACAGTAGCTCCAAAACATGTGGTGAACCAAGTTTTAAAAAGTTTAAATTTTCTTTTGCTTTTATCTGTTTTCCTGGGCTTGACAAACAAGCGATGACTTATTTCTGTAATGTTGTACTGTATTTTCTTTCTAGATACGTTGAATTTAATCTTACAGCATATATGACAATGGCACAAAGTTTGTTTTCATGCCAGGAGTCAGAATTGTCACTCTCTTTGCCTCATTGCCCAGCATAGCCAAGTGAAAATGCCCTATATAGAAAACATAGCAGACATTTCCTGTACGGTTACGAGTTTTTGGGTCCCTACTGTCTCTTTTGAGATCAGAGGATCAATAGGTTGGAGCGGGGACGGACCTCAGCTGGGCAGGCAACCAGTGCTAGAGGCACCCTCTGGTGGCGAGGAGTTGGAATTGTAACAGTAAGCTCCTTCACCTCGAAGCAGTTCAAACATTCAAGTTATTTTAAAAATATTCACTTAATAAAATGTGTATTGAAGGTGAATGGATGAAGGTTCCCCTCTTCAGGAGACCAGGAAAACAATCAGAGTCCAGGCTAGAGAGGTGAAGTGGATGCTGCACCCTGGTGGTGGTGGAGGGGATCCCCATTACCTGTAAAGTGCTTTGAGTGGAGTGTCCAGAAAAGCGCTATATAAGTGTAAGCAATTATTAAATTATTATTATCAGGCCTTTATTTTAGCTAAAGTCAAGGCACAATAGCATGAGAGGAAGAAAAGGACTTTCTCTTGTTTTCTTTCTCGGTCGGTGTGCCCTGGCTGAGCTCTCTTTACAGCCACATGACAGAAATTACAATTTGTGTTTTTACCCAGCCTCCTCATCCTGCAGCTAGAGGATTTTCCATTCTCTCTTTTCTCTTATCAAAAAAACTGACTATGTTTCTTTAATCATTTGTAGCTGCCTGACGGCTACACATTATTTATACTAACAAGGTCATAATTACAAGGAAATGTTTTTACATTTTACAAGGAAGAATGCTTTAAAAATGTGAGAAAATTCTTTTGCAAGGCAAAAGATAATACTGTTCATGACTTTGAAGCTGAGCCAATCCCTCAAAAAGACTTAGTCATGGATCATATTCTATACAGCTGTCACCACCTATTTTACTGAGAAACATGATGAACCCATCACAGTGCGTCCCCAAACAACACCATCCCTACTATCAAGCCAGAGCAGAAAATATATGGGTCCTTTAGCAGGATAATGACTCAATGCACAAGGCGAACGTGATACTGAAGTGAAGTACTAAATTAATAAGAAAAAAGTGAATGAGTGGCCAATTCAAAGTCCTGACTTAAATTGAATAGAAAATCGGTGATAAGTGATGTCAATTGCTGTCCTTTAGTGATTTCACAGAACTTGAGAAAGTCTACAAAGTCAGATGAGCAAGAATTGTACCATTCCATTGTGCAACATTGGCAGATACAAAAAGACTTACAGTACAGTAATATCTGCAAAAGAGCATTCCAGCAAGTATTGATCCATGAATCTGAATACTTCAATATTTAATAAACATATTTTAGTTTCAGATTCTTCTTTGCAGTTTTTGAAGACATTTAGCTTACCACAGTAAAAGAATCAGACTCAATTTGAGTATTTACATTTTGAAATGTGGACTTAAAAAAATGTCTAAAAATCATTGGCAATTTAGAAAATGGGACATAATTGGAAGGGGATAAAAACTTTTGCAAAGCACTGTATAACATGATTACCGTGTAATTTGTAGAACTATTGAGAAGTCTAGAAAAGATGTATTCATGAAATATATTTGTTAATCTGTATTATTATCTGTATTAATATGTATTTTGTTAATCTGCCACATTTCTTTTAAAAAAAACTTAAATAATGCAGATTCAACTCCCTGTCTCACTGTGTGCAGATCTGAAAGATTACTCCAAAAGATAATTCTATCTGTTAACTGACTTTCTTGAGTCTTGCAAACATAGCAAGTGAAACTGTGGACCATGAATTTCACAATGTGCTTTGCTTTTCTTGGAATGCATGACAATACGTAATAGTCCCCAAAAAAGGCAAAAGACTGTCATGCTGATGTGCTCTGTCAGAATGAAACTCCTATAAACGTTTAAATAGTGCCTCCTGAACTGCCCAGACATGTATTACTAGCGAGGATTCAAGCAGCACCGAGAGAGATGGCTGAGGACTCATTACTTTCATACCTCCAGGACTTCATTCCTGACTCTTTCAGCCAGAAGAACAGAATCCTGGCTGGCCGATTCCTGAAGCTGGTGTTCGGAGTCCGGAATGACATGTGTCAGCTGCTCCAGGACATCGATGGCAAAGAGTTCAAAGTGGACCGCTGGATACGGGCAGAGGGTCAGTGCTCTTGTCATCTCACTCTTACTGCCTCATCGTGTACAGTTTGCTCATTTTCTGCTCTGTTTCTGGTGAGCTGTAGTCTTCAGGCAGGAGTTTTAGGAAAACACACTTGAATTGTAATTACTCCTGACTGCTAAACTGCAGCCAGCACACATACAGTAGTATTTACACTTGTAATATTACACTTTCACACAGCAAAAATCATTTGCTTATTTTGGCAAATCTTCTTCAATTCCCAGACCCTTAGAAACTGCAGTCAGCACACATAGTATTAGATTGACATTTGTCATTATATGCATTTGATTTTAAAAACGTTTTAGGAATAATGTACAACCCATACAATCTGAGACATTCATTATTAGCTGGATTTGCCAGTTCTTCTTTATTTTTCTAAAATAAGTAAAAAATGATTTGCTCATTTAGCCAAACCCCCTACATCCCACAGACCCCTATAAAAGCTCTGGGTCTGCTGTAGTTTCATTATTTGAGATGGTTTTAACTCAGTTTAATTATTTTCTTATTTTCCTTCCATGCAGGAGGTGGAGGGATAACCTCGTGTCTTTATGAGGGCAACAAGTTCCTGAATGCGAATGTGGATGTGAGTGTGATTCATGGACACATGCCTTCTCAGGCCGTTGACCAGCTGCGTGAGGCTGGGAGGATGTCCACAGCCTGGCAAAACGGTCAGCACTTCTGTTTTCTCATTCAGTCTCTGTCAGTAATTGGTTTTCATTATTATTTTTATTGATGACATTATTAGAAATGCATTTAACTGATGCCTTTATCCTGATAACTATACTGATGCAATCTGAGTAAAGTATTTTATACAAAGGTACAACAAGAGAGTCCCAGCTGGGTTCTGACCCTCAGCCTTTCAGTTGCAAATCCATGCATGTACAGTAGTGTGCATGTTTTCATTTCATTTTCAATTACAATTTTACAACATGGAAATTAGGCATAGACAGAACTGATAAGCAAAATTTCAAAATGTTTTAGCTTGAGTTGCGGAGACATGAAACACACCTGTGTGTAAAGAACAAACTTTTAATGCCTTTAAAATGGTCCCCAATATCAAGGCAAACCGCAGGGCCACCCCTGTGTTCTCTCAGTTCAGCTCTGGATCAGACAACAACCCCAGTCTTAGTCCTAGTGTGTCTCCTTGCCAAATATCCAGTGTCTACTAAATCGTTAGACATAGCGGGATAGTGAAAATGAAGAAAACATTTCAGAAAATGAGCTTAGCAGATAAATCAACAAGTAAAATAAATCATCATAACCCCCAGCTTGTAAAGGTTCTGCCAAGAATATACCTGAGAGGCTGGTTAGTTAGCTGCACATACTGTAACTTCTTTGTTCTCTGACATTGCTTATGTGAAAAGGGGTATATTAACAGTGACAATGCACACATTCATCTTTACACAACATAAACATACAGCACACAAGTTAAGCTACAAATAAATTTTTAAAAGATTAAAAGAGCACTGAATCTGATCCCTATATCTAAGGGGAAACAGTTCATCTTCCCTTAACCTGAAAAGGGTTAAGGAACCATCTTAAGAACCATCTTCTCTCCACAGAAAATCCTGAGTTCCTCGCCATTGGAGTGAGCTGTATTATTCACGCCCGGAATCCTCATGTCCCCTCATACCACTTCAACCTGCGGTTCTTCATGATGAAACTCAGTGATGGTAAGATCCAGCTCTGAAGAGAGGTTCTACAGACTAGACAGCTGTTGTTCAGACACTAGCATATACTTTCTCATGTTGATTCAATGCAGATATTTCAAAACTAGAGGTTCCCCGAAGAGGTAACTTAAAATATTGAGAATATTGTTGAAAGGATTGGCTATTATATGCTACTATATGATCAGAAAATGCATTAATTAAGCCATTAGTACTAACATTCTAAACATTTTTTTCTAATTGGCTGCTACAAGATTTTAGGTTTTGTTACACTTTGGAATTACTCTAACACTTTACAATCCTTCATCACAACTCCAGTGCCAGTTGCTGTGTTCTCCACACACGAACTGCATGCATATAGCAGAAATAATCACCACAATGTCACTGTTTTGTAAAGATGGAATTCACTAAATCTGACTGAAAGCGAAGTAAGTGAAGTCATTGTTATGAGCTCTACAAAGCCCAGGAATTCAGTGATATGGTAGTTTCCTAATCATTCAGTATTCTCTTTCTAGATGTTTGTCTCTCATTCAATCATCCCTAATGTTTATATCTTAAAAAAACACTGTGATATCAATAATGATGTTTTGCTGTCAAGTCTGATTTGTCTTTCAGCTCCTATTTTTTTACAACGCCCCAGAGGTAAGAATGTGGGAGTTCCACTGTCAATAGTACAGCATGTCTGAAAGCAGTTCAGCCAATTAATCAACAAAGTAGTAATAAAACACCAAACATTTCTATGATTCTCCTGTGATCCATCCAGCTCCCAACACCTCACCTACCAGCAAATTAGTTATAACAGGAGACAGCTGTCGGGTCCTGGACAATCAGACAACCTGAGGGGACAGTGGGGGTGAGACAGGAGTTTGTCAAGACCAACATTATAGGCAGAAATTGATCATCTGGATCATTGGTTCATATGCTTATCTTGCCAAAGTCACTGTCTGACTTGTCTGAAAGCAGCAGAGTCAGGTGGTCTTTCACACTGGATTCCATTCAGTCTTCACACTGAATTTGATATCTCACCGAATGTACAACATATCATTTGATGTTGTCTGAATTCCCTTTATCCCTATTAGATAGTTTAATCCATGCAGATTTGTACCTTTCCCAAAGCAATATATTTGCTTCGTGCTGCTGCAGGTCAGACATGACTTTCCACCTCAGAATGGCTGAAGAATGGCTTCAAGGGCTCATCACTGATCCATGCAAATCTAGGGAAAGAAAACTCAGAATCCTTAATAACGATGAATGACTCAGCTGACTTCTAATATCCATTGATGTTTTAATGTGTTCTTCCCCTCAGGTTCAGAAGAGGGCTGGTTTGGGGGAGTCATCGATTTAACCCCAGCATACTTGGTCAAGGAGGATGTGATCCACTTTCACAAGACCCTGAAAGCTGCCTGTGATGAGCACAATCTCAGTAATTACCCCCGCTACAAAAAATGGTAAATATTTCTTCATGTTCTATTGAAGGATTGATTCTGTGAGTAATTAATTAGATGTCCCAGTAAATATAATCCACATTTTTCTATCTAAGTACTGGGAAAGAGTTTAAACATGTCAGGTTTAGATGAATCTAAACACAGACCATTCTGTTTGACTCCTGGACAGGTGTGATGAGTACTTCTTAATCAGGCACAGAGGGGAGACTCGTGGTATTGGGGGGATTTTTTTCGACAACTTGAACTTCCAGGACGAGAAGCATTTTGACCTCATGCAGTCGTGTGCCAGAGCCATCCTGCCTGCCTACCAGCCCATAGTGAAAGCACACCTGGATGAGCCCCACTCTGAGCAGGAGGACACCTGGCAGCTGCTGCACTACGGCAGGTAAAACTCACATTGTGGATCAGTCCATTCACGAGGCTGAAGAGTCCAGCTCTGACTTGTTTACTAGTGTAAAATATTGAACAGTAGCTCTAAAACATGCGGTGAACCAAGTTGTAAAAAGCTTGTATTGTCCTTTGCTTTTATCTGTTTTTCTCTTGGGCTTGACAAACAAGCAATTATCTACTTCTGTAATGTTTTATTTTCTTTCTAGATACGTTGAATTTAATCTTATATACGACAATGGCACAAAGTTTGGGCTTTTCATGCCAGGATTCAGAATTGACACCCTCTTTGCCTCATTGCCCATCACAGCCAAGTGAGTATGCCCTATGTAGAAAACATATAAGACATTTATTGTACAGTTACGAGCTTTTGGTCCCTAGTGTCTCTTCTGAGATCAAAGCATAAATGGGTTGGAGACATCTTAGAGCAGGGATGGGCAGTCCTGGTCATGGAGGGTAGGTGTGGCTGCAGTTGCTCTAGGTCTCCACACCTGAAGAGCTGGGAGAAGCTGTTGAATTAAGTCAATAATGAGCTAATTGAGCTTGTTAAGAGCTGAGGTGGAATGAAAACTTTGAGAGAAACAGACTGTGCAGGACCAGGATTGACCACCCCTGCCTTAGATCTCTTGATTAAGGAAAAGTCACAAGAGTGAACAAGCTTTTTAAAAGTCAGTGTGGTATAAATAAATGGTTCATCAAATAATATTTCACAAACGTGCAGAGCATGTTCTTTAGGAGCAAAAAATGGTGTTATGACATGATAAGTTTATACACAAAACTGTTTAAGTGGTCATAAACACTTAAACAGCTCTAAAACAACATTTTAGTGTACAAATGGAAGTTAACACATATGAAATATTTTATGTGTTCTCAAACTCTAATATAAGGAGAATTAAAATCTAATTAGTTATGCTGTAAACTAAATTACCTACTAATAGAATTGAAATTATTTGCCACAACTGGCTCAATCTGGCCTGGTTTGTGCCAGAGGAACTTATTGAAAGAGGATACAGCACCATTTTCTTTTAAAAAATTATACGTTATTATTAGAATGCTCTTCTCTAAGCATGGTCATTTCCTGGGAAGACTAGGCCTCTGTTGTTCTTTTGTCTTTCAATATAATCACCCTGTCCTCCTGGAGCCTGTTTCTGCTCCCAGCAGTAAGCAGTCTGCATTGTGCTGAAAGCAGTCCTTGCTGCACATTGACCTGAGGGCTGTGTGTTCTGTGTGGGTGCAG